AAGGACAGGTTTATGTGTTTTAATAAAGGTGGCTTCCAAAATAGAGAGATGAAAGGTTGACCAACCATTTGCAATAATTTCAAACATGCTATCCGTGTAGTTGTCAGTACAAGTTGGGTTTACTAGTAAATGCTGGCCAATCGCCGATTCACATTTTGGTGGTAGAACGTTTGTTTTACAAGAACAACATGGTAAATTCTTTACTTTCACACTCTTATTTCTTATGGATGTGGGTACATGTTGTTTAATTCTATCCTGCAATCTTTGTGAAGTGCGAACTATGTACCAATATTCGCAGTGGCACGAGAATTCATAAATAACCATACTTTTCTGTGTGGTAGGTATCGCATCTTTGTGTGTTGCAGGCAACAGCTTACGTGTGGAAAAAGCACAGTAGGGGTTCACTGCAGGAAAACATTTACTAATGGCCGTTTTCAATTGTTTTTCAGATTTTGTTGAAATGTTACCAATTCATGGTAGTTTTAGGTAAACAGGACACTTGTTAGGACCAAATTTAGGGGCAGTTGAGAAGCTTGCAATTTTCCTTGAAGTAATTTGGTTGATGACGTTTTCTGGATACCCATTTTCTAGTAAAATAGTTTTAACTGTCTTCAATTCGAAATTTAGTTTAGATTTTGAACAGATAACTAGAGCCCGATGGACTAAAGTAGCAATAAGGTTCGTTTTGCGACTTTTAGGACTGAAAGAATCCCATTGTATGTATTTTCCTGTTTTTTACAAATTCTGTCTTTAAATCAATAAAACAATAACTACCCCATCTATCAGGAGCACTTATTATAGATGCAAATTCTTTAGTTTCATATTATAACCCATGAATTAAGATTCTAAATGAAGATTTACAGCTTTATAGATTAATTATCAAAGTGTCTAGGTTCTAGATATAATTGAAACTGCTTCTATCATAAATTTATTGTTGAGAAATGTCCATCATTCATGGTTTAAAATCCTTTTAAGAAAACAACTGCTATAGCTACTTTTTGATGAATCCAGGCAGATTGTCAAATATTAGAAGTTCATGCTCCACAATCATCTAGCTTATAAGAAAATGAGAACGCAACATTTCCAGTAGCTATAACTGAAACTCTATAAAGAAAAACATCCTTATGACTACCTATTTCAACAAATTAATTTTGAACACAATAAACAGCAAATTCAAAATTATTTTAAAGAGAGCTAAGTTATGAATTTGTTCAATACAAAGACACAACAATTATGAGTTAATAAATTTGTATGGCAAAAACTAGCATAAAGATAAAACCCCAATCAATATCTCAAAACTACTTTTGAAATGCAGTGTTTAATATAATTAGTGAAAAACTTTTTTAGTCATCAAATATACTCATACGGTGTTGTATATATAGTCACTTACATATTAAAAGATCCTCACTAAAATAACTTAAACATAGCCTACCCTACTTATATGGTTGGTATCAGACCCTTTCGAGGAATAATTCACTCCAACTTCTTCGTTTTGGAATTCAACAACGTTTGATGTCTTTGTATCAGAGTTAGAATGGTTGACAGTACTAACAGTGGGTTTATCAGCTGATCTTTCACAGCATGGAGAAGCTGTTGCTGTAGCAGGTTGAATTGCTCTTGGTGGGTTATGGTTGATAGCATTAGCACTTTCCTCCTTTTGTAAAATTTCTTCATTTGAGTGTTTTAAAAGCTTGGGCTGAGGACTGGGTGACTCTAATTTTTCAAGTTCTTCAATGGGCTCTGTCAGTTCTTTCTCTTCCTTATGTCTTGAAACACTTTTTACTGTTGTGGGCATTTCTTTTCCATCTGCTAATGAATAAGCAGCATTTAATTAAACTATTACATAAACAATATTTCATTAAACACGAACATGTTGAGTTTATTCCTGAAATTAATACGGGAGTGATGAAAACAATTTAAGAGTAACTAATAATACATAAAAAGTTGCTTTTTGTTTTCTCCAGCTTACTACTTTCAAGTAGTGAGAACACTATGTGACTGTAGAGACTTCTTAGATACCATAAAAATAACATTTTGAATACTACCTTAATATGACTATTGAAAACAACACGAAAAATTACCGATATGATAAAGAAAAATCAATAAATCAATGTTACTCTATTAAACCTGATATTAACGTCCCGTTATATTTATGAACACTAAAAGTCCCATATGTATAAAACAGTACAAACATAAGATGCCATCACATATACAATAAAACATTATTTATCTACTGAAACTTAACTTTGATGTTTCTCCCATGTACAGTGAGTGCAAAAAAAACAAAACTATTTCAGGGTAGAACTTACTTGAACTATGGTTAACTGAACGGTCAGTTGAATCCACCATGTCTACTTCTGAAGAGGCTTGCTGGATTTGGACATTTTCTTCTGTGGTTTTCTCACTCTAAAAAAAATTTAATCATTTGAATACTGACCAACAAAACAATGTATATTTTAAGTTACTCACAAAAAGTACAATTTTTTTTATTTTTGAAACAAATATGCTCTAAACGAGCGAAGAACAAATACTTACCATTTTATGTGTTCACAAAAAGAATACAATGGTTAGTTACCTGCTCTATCAAAATATCAAAAAAGTCAAAATGGTGCTGCAAAGTAAAGAGTACTGAAATGGAATCTTTAAATGTATATGCTATTTGTTTTATTTTAAATAAGGCATTGAAGGTATCACATCTGTATACTGTTTGAATACAATAAGAGCTTAGTAAACACCAATTCACGTTAGAGGTTTCTGCTGGAAACAAGAAACAAAGCATTGCATATTAAATTAGTGAGGTCAGATCATAATCAGCTGAGGGCAAAGGACAAAATTTAATCATAATCACACAATCTCACTTACAGATATAAATAGTTTTCTTATCACTTAACCATATTTAAAGCGCTACATAACCACATGATTTCACTTACATGTACACCTAGTTTTACTATTAGTTGAGATCACTGGACCAAATTTAAAGCACTACATAACCACATGATTTCACTTACATGTATACCTAGTTTTACTATTAGTTGAGATCACTGGACCAAATTTAAAGCACGTAATAACTACATGATTTTATTTACAGGTATAACTAGTTTTGTTTACTTCCTCTGCCATTGAGCCAGCTGAACTAATATGAGATTTGATGTTGGTTGAAACTAAATTTATGATATAATTCTGAAAGGAAAAAAAAAAAAGACAATAAGATAATAAGTTTAATATGAAAATTATTTGTCTTTAATACAATTTAGTTAGGTACAGAATTTTGGCTAAAATCATACTGAACAGTTATGTGTTTTGTGAAACATGATAATTCCGTTCACCAACTAAATTATTAAAATAAATTATGATGTTTCTGTTTTAAGTAACACCTGAGAAGAGAATGAAAAACTTACCTCATCAATGTTCTTTGCTTTGGAAACCAAAAGTTTGTGATGTCTAACCTTCATATCTTTGGGAAAAGGAGTGTCATGCCTGATAAACTGAGTCTACAAAGTGAAAAAAACAAAAATTACATCATAAATTGTGGGAAGCATTATAGTTGGTTCTTGAATAAACAATTTTACCAGAAGTTATAGCAGTTAAATACAAATAAATAATAAAAAAGTTGGATTTTAATAATAACATTTTTATATAGAATTATATGAGGACATTTCTTTACGTTAAAATACTTTTATTTGCGAGCCTTTGGCCCTCTTAACAGAGCCTTCATCGGGCAACAATGTACATGAAGAGTACAGAACAGTTTAGATTGTGAATAATCCAGGCTGTTGATATCCAGACTAATAAGGGTTCAATGTATAGTTATTGTGGAGATTCTTTCCAACGAATGTTCATGTTTACTACATCCAACTACATGAGGAGGACAGAACAAATCAGATGGTGAATAATCTGGATTATTAATGTCTGGACTAACAAGAGTTTAATGTTTAATGTATAGTCATTGTGGATGTTCTTTCCAATAAATTCTCACGTTTACTATATCCAGCCACATGAGGAAAAGAGAAAAGCTTGGATTAAGACAGAATAAAGCTGTTTGCTTTTTATGAAGGAGAAAAATCTCTCTTTCTCTCTCTATATATATATATATCTTTTTTTAAAGAGGGGTAGAACAACTTACATACAGATAAGATAAATGAAGAATATATTATTAAAATTCAATTTGAATCTAGCAACAGAATATTTCGTAATTTTCCTCTAAATAATATTGAAAATACTGACACAATCACTGACAAAATAATAATTTAATTACTTTACTGAAGTTAGTCATTCATAATTTGAAATCAAGAAACTGGAAAAATAAGGAGAAAATTCTTCAATAAATTTTTATTTTACAGGATTCAAAAATGTGTCCTTTTACACAAATTTATAATATTAGATAATTATATTATAAAATCTTTGGTTTTAAACAAGTTTCAATAGAAACATTTTAATTACATTTTTTTTCTGAAAGTCACTGACCAGTTATAAAAAGAAGTCCATTATGGCAAAGTGGAAAAATATAAACATTGCTTTTCACTTACTTCTTTTTCTTCTTTCTCTTCCTCATTTTCCTCACAAAATCTGACAGCAGAAACTCTTTCCTCATCTTTGTGATTCATTTCTTCTTGTCCTTCAATGTTTTGAAGTTGGGTTTCTGTCATTTGGAAGCCAGTACAAAATATAAACAAAATTCGTAAGTTAATTGTGAATGAGCCTATTTTTACACAAATACTCTGACATGCTTTTATGGCAGTCTTCCTTGATATTTCACTCAAAATATTTTGAAAAATAACTTTATGTTCAAAATGATGATTTCATCATTGAAGTAAGTCTGGTATTTAAATGGAGCTGAATTATAAATTTATTTAAACTGTTTAGTAGAAGCTTTCAATATAACAAGAAAAGTCAGAACAAAGTTATATATGCACGTGTGTGTGTGGAAGTTTACCTTTGTGAATTTTGAATGGTATGGCAGGTAAGGACAATAAATCACCTGTGAGAAAATTTACATATCAAACTTCAAATTCTCAACCAAGTACTTTTAGCTGAGGGTTACATCAATGTAAACCACAAGATAACTGATAAGAACCAACATGCTCACACAACACATTATTATCAATGTCATGAAGTTATGTAAACAACTTGCAACCAAATTGATATTTTATAACAGTATCTTAACCTCTTATTATTATTCAGTGTATGTCAACTATTAAGAACTAAGAATAGCCAATAAGAACCAAAATATTCAATCACTATATTTTGATAGTTGTACATTAGATGATTGAATGATATTAATTTAGATAATGACTAACATTAATTCCATAAAGCTGTCAATCACAAATTTCTACATGTGTTTGCGATGAGAAATGATAATAAATACAAGCAGGTGACCAGAAAGAACCCACATAAGTCATAATATTTTAAATTTAACAAAGAAGGGTATTTTCTGGAATATATTTTGCAAAATGACAACCACACAATAATATACACCTTGGAACAGTGTTCTTCCATACTAAGCAACATGTCAAGTTTTATAGGCTTACCTCTAAATGAAATTGTCACAAAAATAAGCTATTAAACTGTACTATAAATAGATGAATATCCTATTAAAGGAAACTGAAAAATATATAGTTAGAGATATGACTAAAGAATACACATCTGAACAATAAATATTTTTATAGGCACTCTTCTATTATTCTTTTTCAAAGTTGATAAAAAACTGGAAAATATTTAGATCCACAAGTAGCGATTTTAAAATAACTGACACACACATATAAATAGTAAACAATTAACAGCAACAGAAAATATTCTAAGATATGCTTTTATAAGCAATAAAAGTGTATAGCTAACCAGAAGTAGATTTTATCAGCAGTTTTCCGGGCTGCATGTCCTCTGTGGAAAAGAAAAAAATACATATTTGGAACATTTCATGCAATCCCCCTCAGTAAAAGTAAAAATGTACAGTACATTTTCTTTACATCATTTTAGTTATCTTGAAATATTTGTTGTTGTTTTTCTTAGTAATTATACTTGTTGAATTTTTCTCTTATTTTGTGTGTTTGTATGGAGTTCTTTAAATTGTACATAACTATATAAATATATTTCATTATCTTATAATGCTTTTGGAGCTAGTGTTAAATAAAAACAAAAAATACTAACAAAAGGATGAGAAAAAAAAACTTCCAAATTATTGAAAGCAAAGAAACAGTATAGTAATGAACAACACTATTCTGCTCCATGTAAAAATATACATCAACCAGCAATATATATAATCATGAGTTTTCTAAATTCAAGAGGAAATTATCATTACTATTCCTTATAATTAATTATATAACAAAGCACATAATAATATATTTAACCCCTTGATTACCATAGGGTTATACTTTGATAAAGGTTTTTCACACTAAATCCAATGATATATAGTTTGTAAGAATCTTCATCAGAATACATTAAACCAATCAAATGTAAAATTACTGACATTTTGTTAAATTTCCCTATTTTCCCTGCCTGGTTGGCAAACATTTAACTAATAACTGATGACTCCAAACAGCAGGGCAAATGAATATTTACATGCATTTAAAGATAATGTGTTTTAAAGTTCCTCCATAAACCAAAGTTTAAGTTTACTAAAACTACATATAAACCTCATGACTATATTCCTGTATACGTATTTTCAAATTGTTAAATACAAAATTTTTATATTAGATTAAATACACAGTGACCATAAAAAAAAATTCATAATTATTATATATATATATATATATATATATATCTG